AGCAGGAGCAGGAGCAGGGGCAGGAGCAGGAGGAGGAGGAGGAGGAGGAGGAGGAAAGGGAGGAGGAGGAAAGGGAGGAGGAGAAGCAGGAGCAGGAGGAGGAGCAGGAGGAGGAGGAGTAGGAGGAGGAGCAGGAGGAGGAGGCGGAAAGACAAAGGATGCGACAGAGGAGAAGGACGTGGAGTCCCTGCCTGCAGGCTCCTCCCTCGTCCCTGCTTCGCTTCGGCTTCGTCCCGCTCCTGGCTTCGCCCTTTCCTCAGCATCGTTTAACTTAACCAATCCCCATCCCCATCCCCATCCCCTTCAAGATGTGCGGATGGAGGTGGGAGGAGGAATGAGTTGTGGGTCCACCGTGTGACCACCAGGCGCCCCCGGGATCGCACTCTACTTGTATCTCTTGGAGTCTAGGTCATTTGGTCGATTGCGCAACCGCTTGCATGCTATGCGTCGACGCTCACATGCGATCGCTCAGCTCGCGTAAGTTGCACGCATGCCGGATGCACAGTCACATATGTAGTTTGGTCCATCGTTCTATCGCATCGTAGGGTGAAGATGCGACTCCATACAATCTCGGGCGGCGCAGCCCAATTCTGAAATTTCGATCGGTCGCTTCCTGAAAATCGGTTCCCTCCCTCTCGGGTCTTCGGGAAGGGGGTTTTGCCTCGGACATCCGCAGGACAAGTCGGCCCAGCTTAACACTCCTATTGGCCCAGTGTGGATTTCAGATGTGGTGGCTCCGTTTGGAAGCAGGGCCTGAGCTGGTTGCCAACATCCCCAAATCGAGCGAGATGCGTGGTTGCTCCATATTGCTCCCCCCGCGGCTGCGCAGAAACACTGCGCAAGTATGGGCTGGCAAAGCCCGACGGCGGCGCGCCTCGGGGAGAAACTGAGAGGAGGCAGGCCTCAGACGGCGGCGGGGCTTCTCGGGACCCAGATCTCCTGAGAAGCCCTCTGTGGCCTCGGAGGAGCAGGCTCCTTGGAAGGCCCGAGGCCTTCTGAGTCCTCTGAGGAGGCCCGAACCCTTCTTCCTGCCTCCCCGGGCGCGCGGGTGAGCCTCTCTGCTCGACGCCCAGATGGCTCCGTGGACGTGGGCACTCTTCGGCTTCGTCCCTCGGCCCCATGTTGCCATCTTCTCCTCCTCCTTCCTTCTCCTTCCTCCTTCCTCCTTCCTCCTTCCTCCTCCTCCTATTACTACATACTAACACTTTAAGACTACTCATAATACATAATAAAATACTCTTCCCCCTTTTTAATACTACTAATATCATAATCCGTAATAATTAAATTCATCAATCATAATCCTCATTAATACGCCATAATACTACAGAATAATCATACTCATAATACTACTAATAAGCACCTCAGTGCGACCCTGCCTTCCTACTCAGCCTCCCTCCTCCTCCTCCTCCTCCTCCTCCTCCTCCTCCTCCTCCTCCTCCTCCTCCTCCTCCTCACCCTCCTCACCCTCCTCACCCTGCCAACCCCTCCCCTTGGCCCGAGCGGAGCGCCCCCAGGTTGCCATCTTCATCATGGTCGTGACGTCCTAGCACCCCCAAAGGGTTGCTGCGCCAGCGTGCGCGGGGCCAGGGTTCTTCTCGTCGCTTCCCCAGGGGGTGGACCTCGACGGTGTTTTTGGGCGATCTCGTGGGCCGTTTTCGTTTCGGCCTGATTCTGCAGCAGAGGAGGAGCGAAGACAAGACGAGGGAGAACGAAAGCAAGACGGAAACGAAAAGCACGTTCAGGTCGAGCCCTGCGCCGGTCAGGGGCACGGGGCGCTGGTCAGGGGGAACGGCAGAGGTCGACTGCGCGTAAGAGTGACCTCTCGACGGGGCGACCTTTGGGTGCGGGCCCAAAGGGGCCCCCCGATCGTTGAAAGCCATGCGATGGCGGCGGCCTGCGGCCACAGTTTGGGCTCCCTCGCGACCCCCCCCCCGAGGAGCCGCGCACCAGAGGTCACTCATGCCTGGGGTCACTCTTGCGTGCAGCCGAAGTCAAGAGAGGAAAAACCACCCGAACCCGAGAATTGGCGTTTACTGAACGGCCCTGGGCGTTTGCTAAACAGCCCTGCACTGTTCGATTCCTTCTTTTGGTGCGTTCACTAAACGGCCTCGCTTGCCGGGGTGGTTCTTATGGGGGTGGGTTTAACACCCCCTACGATAAGGGGAGGCTCGCGGAGGGGGGCACGCGTCGCCCCCCAGGATCGCCCACTCGCCGCCGACGGGGGGGGCCCGATGGGCTGGCCCCGCCCAGGAGCGTCCGCCGCCTTCGCTCGCGGGGGCCCGTCGCCGATCTGCAGCGGAAGCCCATGCCAAGAAGCACCCCTTGCTTGCCTCCTCCTCCTCCTCCTCCTCCTCCTCCTCCTCCTCCTGCTCCTCCTCCTCCTCCTCCTCCTCCCCCTCATACGGTGGGGGCCCATGCCAAGAAGCACCCTGCTTGCCTCCAGCGTGCCCTGGGTGTCGATGGCTTCGCGATGGCGAGCACGACGCTCCCACGCCAACAAAAACGAGGGACGTCCTGGAGTCTCGGGGTTGGGCGTCTCGTGGAAGGTCTCTCGTGGGCTGACCTCCGCCGTGTCGCCGATCGATCGGCGGTGCGTCGCCGATGCAAGGCCGAGATTTCCCCCCTGGGCGGGTCCCCATGCTGGTCTTCGGGTCGTGGCTCGTGCCCCGTTCGGGGCGAGCCGGGCTCCGACGCTCCCAGCGAGGCGCCGCCGCTGGAAGGCTCCGCGGGGCTGGAAGGCCACCGAGAACCGACGGGCATGGCCGAACATCTCGAGCCTCGAGCCCGAAACTTTCGTTCCCCCTCTCGTTGCCCCCCAGCTGGGCCTCCCCAAGAGCCCAGCGGACCGAAGGGACGGCCCGGCGGGCCTCCCCGAGGCGGGGCAGCGGGACAGCGGCAGAGCTCGGGCGGGGCTGGAGCGACGAGTAATCCGTTCCAGAGCGTTGCGGAGCGCTCTCAGAGCCTCCCCGGAACGCTCTCAGAGGGCCGCGGCGCCCGAGACGTCGTCCAGGGCCGCCCTGATCTCAGAGGTTCTCGATTTAACTCTAGGCCTCCTACGTAGATGGGGTCGGAGTAGGTGGGGTCGGAGGATCGCGCCGCATCGGCGATGGGGTCATGCATCGCCGATGCGGCCCGATGTGGGGCCCACTTTACTCCACGCCGACGTCTTCGATGCATCGCCGACGTCGCCAGTGCATCGCCGATGCATCGGCGCTGCGGCGAAATCCTCCGACCCCATCTACTCGGACCCCATCTAGGAGGCCTCTATCTCCTCACCCAGTTTGGATCCTCGTCCTGGCTCCGTCTTAAGAGCCCTGGGCTTCGCGCACGCAGCGCCCGCGATCCCGCGCCCGCGCTCGCGCCGCCGTGCGGGCGTGAGGCGGCCGCCGCTGTGGAGGCTCTGCGGCGCTCCGCGCGGGCGCCCCTCCCGAGGGAAGAGGCTCCAGGCCTCCTTCGACCTGGGCCTCCCGGATGGGGTCGGAGTAGACGGGGTCGGAGGATCGCGCCGCGTCGCCGATGCATCGACGATGCGGCTTGATGTGGAGCCCGAGGTGCTTCACGCGGACGTCGCCGATGCATCGCAGGTGTATAGCCGATGCGGCGCGATCCGCCGACCCCATCTACTTCGTTCCCATCCAGGAGGCCTCTATTCGATGGGAGCGGAGCACAGTCGGACCGAGGTAAGATCGAGGTCGGTTCGGAGAGGGTAATTCATCAATGTTGTTCGCGTTTGTTACATGTTCTCGTGCATCGTGGGGGAGGGCACCCTCGAAGGATCTCAAGGCGTGGGGTGCTCTGGCCGGCGGAGGGTATCATGTTCTTGAAGGATGTTCTTTTGGCTTGGGTGCGACTGCAGAATCGGGGTCCCGAGTCGTCGGGGCTGCAGCGGGGGTGGTCATGGGCAAATCGAGCTCCTGGTCCGTGCCGCGGGGCCCGAAGCAGGAGCTGCCCTGGACCAGCGCTGTCCCGGATCGGTCGGGCGTCCAACCACCCCCCAATCGTCGGGGCTGGGGGCGGTCAAGGGCAGATCCCGATTCGTGCGTCGGGGGCCCTACCGGAGTTGCCCCGGACCAGAGTTTATCCCGGATAAGTCGGGCATCCAAGTAGATCCCGGGGAAGCGTAAGCTTCGAGTTTGGTTGAATTCGGTTTTGCCTACGCTGTTTGACGGGCCCGTCCTGGATCTTGACGGTCCTGTGTTGCGTGGGATGTTTCCAGCGGGAGGTCGCATCAAGTTTCGGATTGTGTCTCGTAATTGTAGAGGCTACCGCTCTGCCGCCGACCGCAGACAAGGCAGCGTAGGTATGTTTGCTGTGTGTGTTTGGCCAATCGTGTGCATTGCGCCCGCCGTTGCTTTGGGTTTGCCCGGGCGATCGCGGTGGTGCGGTGCTTGCGTCGTTTTGCACGTTTCCCAGCCCGTCTGGAAGCTGAGCGAAGTGTGGTGTGTTCGTCCGTTCACCACAGCACAGTTGCGTTGTGGTCCTGTCGCCACCGCCTTCTCTCGTGCTGCACCATTTGTTCCTCTGGTTCCTTTCTTGCTTGGGCCGTTCTTTTCCGCAGTTGCCTCGTCCTTCGCTGTTCGCGGTGCGGTTCGTCACCAGTGCGCAGCGTTTTTGGTATCGGCGCATGCTTACCGCGAGCTTCGGCCTCTTGGCATTGCAACGAGGGCCTGCGCGGTAGCCAGATGTGCATCGTGTGCGTTGCGCGGGAGTGTTGGAGCTTTTTTTGTCTCCAGGCGTTGCTTCGCGTTTCCGCGGTCGCTTGCGGGGTCCAGTTTCGTGGGATCATGTGTGTATGGCAAGAGAGGGGACACAACGCATTAGTTGCTCCTTCCGGTTCTTCGGCGCCTCCTTCTACATGTTGCCGTCCCTTTAGTAGCGCGTTTTGTGGGCTTCACGTTTTTTTCTTCCCCCGCGACTGTCCTGTCTTTGTGTCTTTTCCTGTGTTGTCGTCTCCCGTGTTACTCTGCTAGCACGCCTTGGGATCCGACGTTGGTTTGTTGTGCCCACGTGGGCGTCTGGATGTGCCGCCCACGTCCCTGGGGTCGGGTTTGCGTTCACGGTCATGGCTCGATGGCTCCAGGGTTGGGAAGCTTCGGGCGAGACGGTCCCGAGAATGGCCTAGAATGGAGGGGTGCAGTCTGAAGGGCCGAGCCTTCCTCCCCAAGAAGGCCCAAGAGGACCCCCAAGAAGGCTGGTAGTTCTGTGCTTCTTGGGTCGGGGGGTTTCCGCCGGGGCCTTCGGTGGAGCTCACTATGAGGCCGAACCGTGTGAGGGGTGCGCCAAAATGGAGCGGGGCCGCCATGCGAACCCTGCCACTGGGGCTCCCTATGGGGCCACGAACCGTGTGAGGGGTGCGCCAAAATAGAGCGGGGCCGCCATGCGAACCCTGCCGTCGGGGCCTTCTGTGGAGCTCCCTTATGGGGCCACGAACTGTGTGAGGGGTGCGCCAAAATGCGGGGCCGCCATGCGAACCCGTCCACTGGGGCCTTCGTTGGAGCTCCTTATGGGGCCACGAACCGTGTGAGGGGTGCGCCAAAATGCGGGGCCGCCATGCGAACCCTGCCACTGGGGCCTTCGGTGGAGCTCCCTATGGGGCCACGAAGCGCTGCACTGAGTGGGTGGAACGCAGGGAGGAGGGAGGAGGAGAGGAGGAGGAGGAGGAGGAGAGGAGGAGGAGGAGGGGGCAGCGGGAGGAGGTGACGCGGGGCGTTGTCTCTTCAAAACAAGGACCCAACACCACAGGATGGTTGGGAAAAACAGATGTTGTCACGACGCCAGGCGGTCTGGGCCCGCGGTGGTTGCGGGGGCGATGGCTGGGGGACGTGCGCGGCCTGCGCGGCCTGCGAGACCTTTGGCGCCCGTGCGACGCGCAGGACCTGCGGAGCCTGCGGGGCAGGCGGGAACGGCGGGATCCTTGGGACTTGTGCGACCTGTGGGGACTGTGGACTTGTGCGACCTGCGGGACGTGCGGGGCCTTTGAAAGCATTGGGGCCCTTCGTTACCAACCCTGTAGCGCAATGCAACCAGGAACGAAAACATTTCAGGATGAAAAGACTTTTCGGAGGGAGAGGTGGACGAGGAACCGCTGGACGAATAATAAAAGCACATGCAGAGACTCTTCGCGGGGCTCCCCGTCGATTGGGAGGCCCTCAGATCTCGTCATCACGGCCGCTTCCTCGCCATCATCCTCATCATCCTCCTTCCCCCCTCCTCCTCTGCTTCGCCCTCCTCCTCCTCGCCATCCTTCCTCCTTCCTCCGCCCTCCTTGTCGCCCTCCCTCCTTCTTCCTCCCCCGCCACTCTCCCCCCCCTCCCCCCCCTGTCCCCCTCTTCCCTCCTCCCCCCCGCTCCTCCTCACCGTCAACAGTATCATCATCAACGTCGTCGCCGCCACGTCATCGCCGCCACATCGCCACAGCCATCATCATCAGCATCTTCGCCTCCATCTTCGTCTTCAGCCCCCCTCCCGGGTGCCGGATGTAGCGCTAGAGGCAGCGGCGCGCGTCCACGGAAGGCAGCGGCGCTGAAAAGGCGTCAGAAAGACCTCTGAAAAGGCTCCAGAGAAGCCTTGGCACAAGGTAGCTGTCTTGGCGCAAGGTAACCGTCTTGGCTCAGGTCACCGTCTGCACAGAGCTCCGGCCGAGCATGAACACGGTTGACAAGCTGATCGGAAGGATCCGGGAGACAGGGGGTGGGAGCGGAAACGCACCAGAGGACAAGAGAGCGAAGGTGACGGCGGAGATGCTGGGAAGCGAGGCAGGAGGTAAAGGAGGTAGCAGCACGAACGATGGGGGACATGAACACGACGGAGATGATGAGGATCACGATGAAGGACATGAAGGAGATGAAGGGCATGATGACGAAGAACGAAAAGCTTTCCCAGGAGGCTAAGGACGAGGCCGCGGCGGCAAAGCGAGCGGCGACGCAGGCGAACCTCGCAGTCGCGGGGATCGAGGAGGACGTTGAGAAGCGTGGGGAGTAGCGATTACGAAGGAGAATTGCAGCGATAATTTTAAAACAAGAAGTCCATGAGATGAAGTTGGGCCCTGGTGGCGTTGGAGGTGGAGGTGGAGGTGGAGGAGCGAAGGGTGCCGCAGCGGTCGTGGTCGGCGGCCTCAAGGGGCACTCGTTCAAGGCAGCTTCGGATTGGATCCACAAGTTGATAAAGCCCCTGGAGGTTTACAGAAGAACAGCGAGGGCGAGGAGTTCAAGGGCCTGGTGTTTGCCAAGTTCGCGAACGAGGTTGGCGCGGCCGGGGCGGTGAAAGTTATGAAAGATAAGGCGATGCGAGAGAACGTGGGGGAAGGGGGCAAAGGACAAGACGTGGCGCGACATCGAGGCCCCCGTTGACGTGAGAGTTTGTACCAGATTCTTCGGGAACTTCAGGAACCGGCTCGTCGAATGGAAATTCAGCCGGGAACGCGTCGAGATCGGCAGGCCCAATGCCGCGCTGAAGGTCCAGGGGGGGGGGGCGGGAGAGGTGAAGGCGGGCGGGGGCGACTTCCAGGTGGAGTGAATGAAGGAGGAGTGGGCCCAGTGGCAGGAATTGCAATCTTCTTCGGAGTTCCACCACTTCAGTAATTCTCCAGACGGCGAAGGATCGGCTTTCCAAGAGGCGCGAGAAGACGCGCGAGGGGGCCAGGAAAGGCCCGGGGAAGCGATGGGGCCGAGGGCGCGTAGACGCGGTTTCACCCAGGACCAGCAAAAGCTTGGGCACGGGGCCGGGGCAGGTTTATGCCGACGCATCTGGAACGCCAGTTTTGATAGACAAGGCAGTAGTTCTTGGAACGCGAAGGGGCCGACTGACCCGAAAGTTCTCGAACTGATCAATCACGCGCAGCAGCATGACGTAGACATCATTTGCCTACAGGAGACGCGCGCGACCAACAGCAGCGCGAACGTGGAGAACGGGCGCAAGGCCATTCTGTCTGGGGGCGACAATGGTTCAATCTCGCGGGCGAGCGTTGGTTTCGTCGCAGCTCCGAGGCGCGCGTCGCTCATGCAAGCATTCCAGCGCGCGTCGGAAAGGATCTGCGGCATCGAGCTTCGCGTTAGCGGAGGCGTGGCGGGCATCCTCACGGCGCGTGCCCCGCGCCATGGGCGGCCGTTCGATGAGCGCTTCGACTTTTACACGCAGCTGGGCAGAGGGTGCCGGAAGCATTCTGCGAACGTCGGCAAGCGCATGTTCGGCGACTTCAACGCGAGGACTGGGCCGCAAAGGCCCGGGGAGGACGAGAACACTCTTGGGCGAACTGCCGCTCGACGCGTGGATGTGCCGAGCAGGTGTTCACGGATGGAAACGCGCATCATCAACGACCTCAGCATTCCCAGCGCGAATTGCGATGCAGATTACGAGGCAGAGCAAGTAATGTAGAGCCAGTGCAGTCGAAAACAGAGGCCGTGACCGAGAAATGCTGCAATCTGTTAGATTGGTTTACTTGCTATGACGTTTTCTTCGCGCGCGTTGCCGGCGTCCAAGCGCGCCGGGGAGCTGCGCTGGCGAAAGATATTTTTCTGGCTCGCGTGGAGCTGCATTTTTTCCCCGAAGGGCGCCGAGGCTCCAGCGAGGAAGCGATGCAGCGCGGGGGCCTTCTGGCGCTCTCAGCGTCGACGAGCTTCCGCAGAGGCTTTCAACCAGCATTGCAGAGCGGGCAAGCGTTGAGGTGATGTGGCAGGACGCCGAGGCGGCGATGAGGAAGGCAGCAGAGACTTTGCCGCGGCGGGAACGTAAGGCGAACATGCCATGGATATCCGAGGAAACGTTGCGTCTGCTTGAATTGCGAAGAGAAGCGCGGGCGAGTGGAAACACTCCCCGGGGAAATCAGATGCACGAGAACGCCAGGAAGCAAGCCAAGTAGGACAGGGCGCGCTGGGCAGATGAGTAGTTTCGGACTGGAGGGCGGAGGCGAATCCGCGCAGCCAGCAAGCCGAAGAAGATCGCGAGTGGAAAGCTGAGGGATGCAAGCGGCAAGCTCGTGGACAGCGACCTCTGGGCCGAAGCAGCGGCAGAGCACCTGGAGAAAGTTCAGTGGCAAGTCCAGCCTGCTGGTGACGTCGAAGGGCCGCAACTTGGCGAGAAGCTGCCGGCGCGCGCGGACCAGCTGACAGAGACGGAGGTGGGGGAAGCAATCCAGAAGTCGAAGTGCGGGAGAGCTTGTGGACCAGATGACATCCCGGGCGAGTCTCGGCGGGCTGCGGCAGAAACAGGAGATGGCTCGTCGTGGATTGCTGGCTGGTGCAATGCGCATTGGCTCGAGGAAGAGACGCCCGAAGACTGGCATGTAGCCCTGGTAGCATCTATTCACAAGACAGGGTCCGTGGAAAACTGCGATCACTATCGCCATACAAGCCTGGTGCGCGTGACTTACAAGCTTTTCGCAACGGTGCTCTTGACAAGATTGAAGGCTGCGGGGGCAAAGCGGAAGCTCGCGGCCACGCAGATCGGCTTCCGATCTGGCCGAGGCACGCAGGATGCGATATTTGCTGTGCGACGGCGAATCGATCAAGCGCTGGCAGGGCGAGATGGTCGCGTGGGAATAGTGGCCTTGGATTGGAAGAAAGCTTGCGATTCGATCAAGGTCAACGCTATGATCACGGCCCTTGGGCGGTTAGGATTGCCGCCGAAGTTCTTGAGAATGGTGCAGCACATCTATTATGCCAGACGCTTATCAGTGATTGGCCCTGCGCAGGAATCTGCAGGAAAAGAACAGAATTCTGGGATATCCCAGGGGTGCCTTTTATCGCCGCTTCTGTTTGTAATGCTCATGGTGGTTGTCATCCACGACGCGACGCAGCGCCTGTCGGACGCGGCGCGCCACCAGATGGAGGCCGGATTTCTAGATATTGTTGCGCGCGGGCGACACTTTGCTGCAGGGGGTCGGACAGACGCACCTGCAGGAGCTTCTGGACTGCATCGCGCAAGCTGGGGCTCAGTACGGCATGGCGCTGCACTGGTCGAAGTTCCAACTCAATTCAGTCGGCGGGGAGCTTCAGCTGCAGACTCCAAGTGGGGGCACAATCCCTACTAGCGAAGCCCTGCAGTACCTTGGAGTCGACATCCGTTCCGACGGGAATGTGAGCCACGAGATCCTTGCAAGCTTGGCCAAGCATGGGGGGAGTTCTGCAAGCTCAATATCTTCTGGAAGCGAACGGCGCTGCCGCAGGCCCAGAAACTGGAGGCCTTCGAAGCAGTCACGCGTCAGCCGATTCTAATATGAGCTGAATTCCGCGTGGCTGCCCGCAGCAGACGTTCGCGGAGTCAATGGCTGCTACTGCAGATGTTCACGCGTCGTTTTACGAACGCAGCCATCGTTCATTTCGCGAGTTTCAAACATGGCGGCGTTGGAGAAGGACGGCTGGATACCAGTTTCATTCGGATTGCAGTTTGGTGCGTGCATTGGACGGAGACGAACTGAAAAAGCGCGCTCTCGTCCCTGGAGCACGCATTTCGGCAAAGGAGCGATTCGTGAAGAATGTTGGGCGCCCGAGGAACGAATGGGTTAGTCAGGTCGTCAAAAACGCTGCTGTAATCGGAGAGAACATTAACTGTGAGCGCGGCTGGAGGGCCAGCGTGAGCCGGCATTGCATGTCCTAGTTGCGTCTACGCGCCTTTCGGCGTACGACTAGTGAGTGAGTGAGTCTGAAAAGGCTTCAGAGAAGCCTCTGAAAGGCATCAGAGAAGGTCCAGAGAGGCTTCAGAGAGGCCTCTGAAAAAAAAAAGCTGCAGAGAAGTTGAAAAGGCTTCAGAGAAGCCTTTGAAAAAATCATAAAAAAGGCTTCAGAGAAGCCTCTGACAGGCTTCAGAGAAGCCTCTGAAAAGCTGTAGATAAGCCTCTGAAAGGCTTCGGAGAAACCTCTGAAAAAAGGCTTCAGAGAAGCCTGCGAAAGGCTTCAGAGAAGCTTGTGAAAAGGCTACAGGGAAGCCTCTGAGAGGCCTCTCAGAGGCCTCAGAAGCTCTGCAGAAGCTTAGCAAAAGCTCAGCAGAAGCTCTTGGATCGATTGCAATCTGGCGCTCTTCAGGCAGGTTCGTATATGAATCCTTTAGGTTGCGATCAGTCCGTTTCCAGTGGTTGCAATCTGACCGAAGCAGTTTCTGAACAGTCCGAAGTGGTTGTGATCGGTCTTATTTCCACCTTTGCCCCCCCCCCCCCCCCCCTCCCCCGTTTCCTACAGTGCCAGGGCCGAGGCGCTGCGCGGCGGAACTTTTCATAACGTCACGGTGTTGCACGTGTCAGAACAGTCGGTGAATGCGATGTGGGAGTATACGGGTCTACGGAGAACATACCTCGCGATGGCGTTCGTGCCCGCGCCATTCCCGTCGGCGCAGAGGCCGAGGCCCTAGTCGGAAACAAGTTCTTCGACGCGAGAGTCGTCGGTGTCACGGATAGCTCGGTGGCCGCGCAGTGGGAGACGACCAGTCTACGTCGCAATGTTACTCCAACGAAGTGCGTTGGAAGGCTTCCGTCGGCGATGCCGCTCGGCCAGCGCCGACCGCGCTGCCCGATGCGTGCAGCGGTCAGCGGTGGGCCAGCCATTGGAGGGGCGACGGTC